AGTGATAGCCACTGGATAAGGAGTAAATGTGATAAACAGAGAATAACACATATCCTTTTCCAAAATACACCCTGTATCAGCCCGAGACACCAATATCAGCCAGAGGGCTGAAGGCTGAAGTGTTGCTTTTGAGTCAGTCTAAGGTTATTTTTATCTTCTTTGTAGACTACTCATGACATCAACAGATGTTCTGCAAATCTGGCTGATAAAATGGAAAAAATGGCAGAAGGCAAAGAAAATGTTGAAGTCAAACAGTCAGTACAATATAGAAATCCATCATGCTATAGTTATAGGATAGCCCTGGCTTCTTACTGAATTTTACATTAAAAGTTTTATGGGTGATATTTATAAGTAATAAACGAATTAGTGTGCATCTGGCATGGGGGGGGGGGGGGGTGGTGTGGTAAAATGGTAAACTGGGCAGCAAAGAGTCCAGACTAATCTGAATATACATAGTAAATATATAAAATTTAAAAAAAAATAACTTGATAACTTGTATCATTGTAACTCTGCATCAATGGACATAATCTTTGTATTGAATAATAAATACGTGTAGCAAGTAAGATAAAGGAAAATGTCACTATATCCAAAATTCTCTGTGCTGTACCTTTACAGATTATATGGGGGTTTTACCCTGGATGCCATAGCAGCAACAGCATTTGGATTGGATGTAGACAGTATTAATAATCCAGACAGTTCTTTTATCAAAAACATCAAAGAAATATTTCAAAGAGGGATGAAACCATGGAGAAGAATTTGCATCACACTTGCAAGTATGCAAAATGTAACTCTTTGCTGCACTGATGATTTTATTTCCTTATGTTGTATGTATAACAATCATTTTAGCTCACCTGAACCAAAGGTTCTCTTGACCTTTTCTGAACAACATTTGTACAGTGTTCTTTCATCTGGCATCTGTTGTATGTAAAATTTTAATATTTTAGTCTTCTCCAATTTCACCCAAACTTGCCACAAAGCATCATCGGCTGAAGGAGATTTATCATTCCTTTTTTCAAATGAAAAGCTACGAGGGGCATTTCAAAAGTTCTGGCAACTGGTATATAAAATTTTAACTACGTTATGGATTAAAATGACTCTGATACCACTGTAAAGCTTAGGCAAATATGCATTAGTAGTGACGTCATTTTACATTCAAAATGAGGTATAGGTCTGCTAAAATGACGTCATAATTAGGTATACTCTGTATACTGGGCGTAAAAATGACTGATAAGGAGAACAATTTTTTTGTTGAGCAAAGAGCGTATTGCAAAATTCGCTCATTGCTTGGCTTTACGGCAACAGAAATAAAAGCCGATTTAGATGTAGTATGTAGAGAGCATGCTCTTTCATATCCAGCAATAACAAGATGGGTAGTTCAATTTAAAGAGGGTAGAAAATCAAATCCCCTCTCTAGGGGCAATTATTATCACAGAAAATTATGTATTTGGCTGTAGTTTTTTGGGCATTAAACATTGACAAGTTCGTTTGTTTGGTTGGTTGTTTAACGTCCCTTCGAGAATTTTTTACTCATATTGAGATGCCACCAATTGCCAGTTGACTGCAAATTTAGACTTGTACTTAGCACTTTGAGCAGTGAGGAATCTTTTTTGTGCCAGCACCTACTGTAACACAGGACCTCGGTCTCAACTGAAGTACCAGTCTTCTTGTCACACAGTAGATTCGAACCCATGATTTAAGGTTATACCCCTTACACTGGGACTCTAGAGCAAATGCTCTAACCACTGTGCGACGCAAGTGACAAGTAATCATATATATCTTATTTTAGGTGTATTCCCAAGCCTTTATCCTGTACTTCGTATCTTCAACCTGAATTTCTTCAACAAGGAAAATGTAGGGTTTTTTGTCAGACAGTGTCAAGCCATGATAGAAGACAGAAAAACAGAGTCATCCGAGGTATAGTTAATGAAATCAGAAGGAATATTGGGCCTACATTTAAGAAAATTGAAATCTGAAAGAAATGCTGTATAAAGGGTTATTTTTGCAACCAGCAAATTTAACAATTTTATCCTGCCAGTGGGCATTTATTATAAGTCTATAATTGAAGATTTAAGGGATAACTCTTCATATTTTTTAAGATAATATTTATGATTGAAAAATACATTTACTGTAAATCACATTTCATTCACAAGAACTTTATTTTCGCATAATTACGTGAATCTGTCTGCTCACGAACATTTTTTCTTGCAAATATTTGTATTGTAAAGGATTATATATAACAGAGACCACAGCTATCAAAAATTTTGTCTTACTTATAGATATCAAATAGCTAACCCACGAAAATAAGGTGTCTCGAAAATATAGTGATCTACAGTATTTTTAGCATTACCAAGACCATTGCTATTAATGCCAAAATTAGATTACCATTATATGGCATTGGTCTTACATTACCTTAAAGAAATCTGAGATATGTTAACTGAAATTATAAGGAATATTGGGCTTCCATTAGCTCAAAATCAGTAGTACACTGTAGTTTTGCACGGTTTAATTTTTCTGTGTATTACAGAGACACGTTGATTTTCTTCAACTTATGGTTAATGCAGAGTTAGATGAGCAGTCATTACAAGATCAGCATATCAACGGTGGACAGAAAAGTAATGGCTGTCAATTTTCTTATCTTCATGTAAGAAAATGATGAAAAATTACATCAGAGTGCTTTTACATTTTCCATCTTTCCAGAATTGACCAATGATGAGATAGTAGGTCAGGCTTTCCTCTTTTTTGTGGCGGGGTATGAAACCACTGCCAACACAATGAACTTTGTATCCTATGAACTAGCCGTAAACCAGGAGGTTCAAGACAGGGTTGTTCAGGAGATGAAGGATCAAATTGGGAAGGTGATGAACCTATTTTAATGTAAGGAAAACTTTCAAGGATATCAACTAAGTTAACAGATTATGTCAGATTCCATTTTATAATTATTTGTAGGAAGAACCTAATTATGAGAACATGAACAAGCTACAGTACATGGAGCAAGTGATTTTAGAGACACTCAGAATGTACCCTCCTTTACCAAGGTAAAGGAGAAGTTGGACTCAAAGTATTTTTAATCAGAATTTCAGCATTTTGCATGGAATAAAAAAAATATGGTGATTTTTCTTCTCACACTTGCTGATTTTTGAAAGCATGTTAAATACCTGATACTTTTTTGGGTGATGGGGGTGATGGATGATAAAATTTTTTTTTTTTTTAAAAATCTAATAGATTTAATTTAGTTTTTTATTTATTTTATGGGTTTTTATTATTCATTTTCAAAATATCTAATAAATGAGTTTTCAGTGGAGATATGTAACAAGTATTTTTGTAGTCTGGTACTATTATAATGTTTCTGCTTTTTTTCGTTTGAAAGACTAACTCGTGAGATAGGGGAGACAGTGGTTATAAAAGAATACACTTTTCTAAAAGGAGGCACCGTGGTGATTCCAGTCTATGGACTCCATCATAATCCAGATTATTGGCCTAATCCTGAGAAATTTGATCCAGATAGGTAATGCTTTATATGCCTATGTTTTTTTTTCACAGTTCGTTGAATATAAATTATAAAATAGTAAGCATTTACACAAGGAAATGATTTACATCGATCAAATTTTCTGAGTGCCATTTTTCAAAAGGTAGAGACGACATTCCAATGGAGTCAGAAATACAGTCATGTGACAACTTATATTTATTTGGTTTACCCAATACTGCCCCATTTGGCTATAATTAGCCATAAAATTCAAATACAAGTATCAGATCTAGCTGCCAATGTCTGGAAATTAAAAAAAAACACATACTTTTTATTACAAATTATACATGTATGCACATACAAATTGCTTATTGACCATGGTATATAAAAGCTGTGACCTCAAGACAGTTGTTTAGAATAATCATTTCCAGGATATTTTCAGATTTGAAAATTCCAAGAATGTCCAGAACAAGTTTTACTACATGCCATTTGGACTTGGTCCAAGAATGTGTTTGGGAATGAGGCTGGCTATGTTAGAACTGAAAATGGCCCTTGTTCATGTTCTCAGGAGAGTAAAATTTGTTCCCTGTGAGGAAACTCAGGTAAAAAACTTTGTATGTCTCCATTTCCCTGAGGGAATCAGGAATTATTATGGAAAATATGGTGAACTTGCTTCCTATTCCTTGGAAATTGAACTCTATAACCAATTTTAATCTGCTCCTGGGTATTAAGTTAACAAACTAAATGTATAGTTATGATGAGCAGGAATGCCTATTCCAAAATTTTGAATTTCATGGCCCCTTGGTCGGGCTTCTAGTGTTAGGGCAGGGCTCTTTTGATTGAATAGTGAAAATGCATAAATTCTTTGAAAATCTTATCTGCTCTGGGGTATTAAGCAGTTAAAATAAATGCATAGTTATAATGAGTAAGGTACCTCTTCCAAAATTATGAATTTCATGGCCCCTGCATCGGGGTTCTACTGTTTGGACTGGCTGTATTTATTTATACAGTGAAAGTGTATAAATTCTTTGAATATCATCTCTTTTCCTGGATATTTAGCAGATAAAGTGCACGGTTATGATGAGCAAGGGTGCTTCTTTCACAATTGTGAATTTTGTGACCCCTTGGTCAGGGGACCTGGTATTGAGGGGGGAAAGAGGGGGCGCTCTATTGATTATCTAGTGTAAATGCATAAATTCTTTAATTTTCTCTTCTGCTCCTGGATATTTAGCAGATTAATCAACTGCATAATTATGATGAGCAAGAATGCATCCTCCCAAATTTTAAAACTTGTGTATTGATGAGAGATATTCAACATTTTTTGATCTTGACCTTTCCTTTGTCCTCACTTTTCTTATATTTTGTATTTAGCTCAGTTTCAAAGAAACTTTTCGTCAAGATATTTTTATCAAAATTCATATCATATAATTGAGAGCTATTCAATTTTCTCAACATTTTTTGACCTTGACATTTCCTTTGACATTGGTCTCAGTTTTCTTAAATTTGTACATGTATTAAGCTCATACTGTTTCAAAGAAACCATTCAAGATATTTTTTTATCAAACTTATATGCTGATACATATTGATGAGAGCTATTCAATTGCGTTGACATTTTTTTGATCATGACATTTCTTTTGTCCTTGTTCTCACTTATCTTAAATTTGCATTTAAAGATATACACTCTATATAAATGCGATTTTTTTTATGTGAAACAAAATGATTAAATGATTTGAGAAACATGATGTTTAAGAAAAAAATAATACTTTCCTTAGAGTTTTACTAAATAAGTCGTCATAATTACAATACAATTAAGCAAAATCTGCAATTAAGAATTTAGCCTTTTCATGAATATTGATGTAGAAAGTGCGTAAACAGTATATAGACACGCATGTCCGCCGGAAATCGTGGAAGATGAGAGGTACGTTGCATTTTGACTACGATTATGAATAAAAGATTAATATCTGTCATTACAGAGTAGATGGTTAATACTGGTTGTTTTAAAAGATAAGTGTCTTTAAGCATTAGATGTGTGCCATCAATGTCAAAAGTTATTTGTATACCAAACAGCCTACCTCATTTTCTTGAGGCCATTTTTGTTTATCGATCTAAAGGTAGCGACAGTGTCACGGGATGCATGAATTTAAATAGAGGCATTGCAGGAAAATAAATAATTATAATTTGAGATCTTAATAACGCGTTCATTTTCAATTGTGTAATCTACAGTATTTTCGTATACTTGGTAATACTTGGTAAACAAAATAAATATATTTCCAACTTTATTTTTAACTGAGGCAAGTTATAGCATGTATATCTTTAACTCAGTTTCAAAGATATTATTCAAGATATTTTTAGCTCACCTGAGCTGAAAGCTCAAGTGAGCTTTTCTGATCACATTTTGTCTGTAGTCCATCTGTCTGTCTGTCCGTCCATCCGTCTGTAAACTTTTCACATTTTCGACTTCTTCTCCAGAACCACTGGGCCAATTTCAACCAAACTTGCCACAAAGCATCCTTGGGTGAAGGGGGTTCAAGTTTGTTCAAATGAAGGGCCATGCCTTCTTCCAAGGGGAGATAATTAAGAATTGGTGAAAATTTGGTGTTTTCGTTTAAAAATCTTCTTCTCAAGAACCATTGGGCCAGAAAAGTTGAAACTTATGGGAAAACTTCATTACATAGTGTAGATTCAAGTTTGTTCAAATCATGACAATTCAAATCATAGGGTGGGGCCACAATGAGGGATCAAAATTTTACATATTAGGAATATATAGGAAAATTCTTTAAAAATCTTCTTCTCAAGAACAACAAAGCCACAATTAGTCATATTGATATGGAATCATCCTCAAGTAGTGTAGATTCAAGTTTCTTGAAATCAAGACCCCCCTGGGGGTAGGGTGGGGCCACAATGGGGGATCAAAGTTTTACATAGGAATATATAGGAAAAATCTTTAAAAATCTTCTCAAGAACAGGAAAGCCATGATTAGTCATACTGATATTGAAGCATCCCCAAGTATTGTAGATTCAAGTTTGTTCAAGGCATCCTCCAGTAGTAGGGAGGGGCCATAATGGGGGATCAAAGTTTAAGAAAAGAATATATATAAGAAATATCTTTATAAATCTTTTTCTCAAGGACAACAAAGCCATAATTAGTCATATTGATATGGAAGCATCCTCAGGTAGTGTAGATTCAAGTTTGCTCAAATCATGACACCCCCCCCCCCCAGGGTAGGATGGCAGACATCTTTAAAATTCCATTTTCAAGAACAGCAAAACCATGATTAGGTATATGAATATAGAAGCATCCTCTCAGAAAGTTTAGATTCAATTTCATTCAAAACATGGTGCCTGAGGATAGGTTATGCCTAGAACGGGCAATCAAAGCTTTACATTTGAATATATAGGAGAAGAAATCTGCTGACAAAGAACAGCAGGGCCATATTGACTTAGGTGAGCATTGTGGCCTGTGGGCCTCTTGTTATGTAGGCTTATGCACTGATGTATAATTTGGTGAGAATTTATCAACTGTGTCCATTTTTTTTTTTTTTTTTTTATACTTTTACCTTCCCAAAAACCTTTGACTTTCCTTTTAATTGTGTCTGAAACTCAGTTTTAAAGAAACTATTCAAGATATTTTCATCAAACTTCATACACAAATTAAATTTTCATGTTGGATTACTAATGAACCTTGGGCTGGGCATTCATGTCCTATGGACATACCTGTATTTCTAGTTGTCATTTACAACTTACATCATAAATAAGGGTTATATTTCAAAAGAATGTGTATCATGATTGAAAATATATAAATGTAGTATAATAAAGGTTAGTTATTAAATAAAATTCAAAGCATTAAAAGAAAACAAAGCTAGATTTAAGCATTTGTTTATTAAATCTTAATATCTTCTTTTCAGATTCCCTTGAAAGTTATTACCCACAAGGGTCTCATAACTGTGGAAAAACCAATCAAACTAGCCTTTGAATTAAGACATTAAGAATTTTTACCAAGTTCGAAAGAAATTTGATATCCTAGAATGCAGAAACACAATGCAATGGTCCATAAAAGAGGTATTAGACAGAAGGCTTCCTTGAACAGTAAATCAAAGAAAATTGGTTTGATTTGAAGCTGATGGACTGAGAACAATTAGTGAAGAAATTTAAAAAAAAAAAAAAAGTAAAGGAGATTTATATGGGTATATTAGTGATATTAATCAGACATTGTAAATTTTTTTTTCTCATTTTATGTTTTAATTTTCTTTTAAACCAACATTTAAGAAAATTGTCATGGATGTTATGCCAAAATTTAAGGACATTACTATGTACCACAATCAAGATTAGTACTAGTTTTGAAGTCCGTGATTATTAAAACTTCAGGTATGATAATGGTTATATATACGTTTGCATTTATGCATTTATAATCTATTACAGTCCATGTGCATGTACTTACATGTATTTTAGCATAATTAAGATTAAGTGCAAATAAAGGTGATGGTGAGAGCTGGGCAGTCATGAATTAGTGCTATCAGTATATCTATGCATTATATTCACTTGAAAAGATATTTTGGTAGTGTTGATGGATATAAACCCAATAATAAAGGCTTTAAACTTGCCAGAATAAGAATCACTTATAATTAGACTAAGTATACACAGAGTAGGAAGGAATACAAACCTTAACATCTGAAAAGTAAAAAAAAAAGACAAGTTTAGTTTGGATATTCTGATACTGATGAGTCAAAACTTTCAAATATTATTTGAGATTTTTTCCAAATTTAACCTTTTTCATGAATTTTAAATGTGTCTTATTCTGAATCTAGCTTTTTTTTTTTTTAAAAAAAAAAAAAGAAATATATATGTTTTAATGTAGTGAAATAAATATTTTATTTTGTAAAACACATTACATAAATGGATTGGACATTAGGCATCATGCCTTTAGAAGTCCTTTCAAAGAGGGTCAAGGTTACATGTATATAGAATTAACAATAAAGTGTTAAGATTGACATTGAGGGGTAGTACATAATCAATTATATTAAAGCAGATGTAACTAAAAAAGGAAGGAAGAAAGGTGAAAGAAAAATGTTGACTTATACACAGGAGTACAATTCAATATATAGCATGCACAGATCAAATAAAAAATTAATTTGGATCCCCCTAGAAAACGTGGACCCCATCATCACCACCACAAAATAGGTGTTTTTCATGTTTGGGAAATGGATTTTTTGCTTGCCAACATATTTTTGGGTTGCCCCCCCCCCCCCCCCCCCCCCCCGGAAAAAATTCCTGGATCTGGGCATGTTTAGTTATTTTTTGAAAACTTTGTATTTTATTTTATCCTTATGAAAGTAAATTGTTTATCAGGTCACAGATTTTTTATTACATGTACATGTATTTTATTAAACAATATGTTATAATTTGTAAGCATAATACCTGAAACGTGTATCTGATAAAATGTGTGTCTAAACAACACATGAACAAGGTGAGGTTAATCGCAATCATGAACAAAACTAAATGTATGCATTAATTTGTGTATTTTGTTAAGAAGTGTATCTGTTGTTTGTGAAATCTCACCAAATTTTTTCTTTAGTCTACTGTTATTTTGTGTACTTCTGAATTATATTGAGATGGTCAGTAAAACTTCACAATGAAATGTGTACTACATGATACAGGTAGTTTTTACTAATCTAACAAAATTAGATTTAAAATTGTTTGAGTGAATCTAATGACAGATGTTTTAAAATCATTCGCTACAGTTGCTTTAAAAATAAGGATGGTTTTGATGTTAGGGTAATCTTTTTCAAATTTGCGTGAGTGTTGTCCTAAAAGCAAACCCAGAGCTCAGTAAAAATTGAAAGACTTGTGAGCACTTTATTTGCACAATAAATAACAAACGTAAATGCTATTATAAATGTTAGAAAAATATAATCTTTTGTATGGGGCACAAAATTAACAACTCAAATAATTTTGATATCTTTAATTATTTGAAGATATCTTCATTTCACTTAATGCATGAAACAAACCATTAAAAGATTTCTTCAAATAAAATTAGTGATATGAACTTCATTCTGAATTATTGTGCTTGTTGATATCATTGACTAATTATAATTTGCTGAATTGATGAAATAATTGAGTTGTTGGTCTCTTCAATTGAATTAATGTGCACTACAATAGAATTATTGCTCTTTTCAATTGAATAAATAATGGCAAAAATATATTTTTCATTTTTGTGTTATTAAATACATTTCATTGATGTTTTGTACTTTTTAACTATATGTAATATTATGTATAAATGAAATGAAATTTGTACCTACCATGGAGAGGTATCTATAGGCAAAGCCTGCTGCCCAACCCATTTATTTTTTTTTTTTACATAATAAAATATGTTCAAGTCAAATCAGTGGCGCAACAGTTCTTCTACAGCAACTATTTAATTAATTACATGTATATCTTCAATTTAACATACCCATAATTTATGTAATATTCTCTTTACTTGAATTGTAGCTCTTTTTAAGAGAATCGATGCGCACATTAAAGTCATCTATGGCGTATTTTTTTAAATAAGTTCAGACTAACTAAAATTAAAAAGATCTTTCTATTTGTTTTATTACTTTATATAAAGATAGGACTTTCCTGTAAATTACACAATTTAAAACAATCAGGTTTCGAAGATATTAGAAATTTAAAACAATAACCGATTTATTTACCAATTCCGCATTTAATTAACAGACACATTTAAAATCAATTCAACTATGGAAACAAGAGGTTATCCAAGTAAAAATCGGTGATTTTTTTTAATTTGAACATTAATAACATATACGTGTATCATGTTTATCTACACTCAATCTCGTATTTTTATTTTTTAGCTCAGATACGCCAAATATAGCTTTAATTTCTCTAAAAAAAAATCGTTTTAAAATAAGACATCTTCAATTAAAAAATAAGGAGATCAACAATCATGAATTATCTTTTCTCAGCAATAATTCCACCTAATTATTGAGTTCAACAGTTGAATTGATGTGAGCAAAAATTTAATTTAAGTTGCGCTTTAAATCAATTATTGCTCTGATCAATTTAATTGATATGCGCATCAAATCAATTATTACTCTCATCAATTGATGCACGAATCAATTCATTCGATGAGATCAATAATTAATTGAATTGATAGTATCTTCAATGAATTGTTGATATCATCAGTTATTTGAGTATATGTTTAACAGTTTAAGCTCCACAGTTGAGACAGAGAGGCACCAGACTACAGCCGTTTGCTTCCAAATTTTGCTTAGAATTAATCATGATTATTTTCTCATCATGTTGGATAGAGTTGTTCCTCTTGATATTTCCCAAGTTTTAAACCCTTTATCGACAGACACTGTATAATATATGACACTTGGCTTTAATAACAAATATACAATTAAGGTCCATTGTTTTAATATATTCTTCATTACAATGGAGATTACTTGAGCGAGGTGGACTGTTACAATCTTATCATTTTGGCGCGGTATCGATGTTGCACTGTATAGAAGGGAACCATTGCGTGATGTGAAGAAAAACAACGACCCCCGCCACAAAGAAAAAAGTGTATTGACAAGTTTGACATGGATACTGTATTCAAAGGATTTGTTTTTGTCTTATAGCAGGTCGTTCTGACTTGCAACTTAACTGAAATATTATTTATAAGTTAATATGTGGGTTTGTGGAGGATTTGTGGGTTGATGGAACTATATTAATAATTTGGATTTAATTTCATTCATGTGGCTAAAATGAACAATATATAGATATGTTTTCAAGGATTCTTTTATTATTAGTATATCATCGAGTTACAGGTTTGTATTCTTATATGGCGAATGTTGGTTCCACAATCGGATTGAAAAATAAATGCTTCATATCATATATTAGGAAATATGACTGGCTTCGATTTAGTTTCGTTAGACATATATTTGTCATATAAACTAAACTACTTACCTTTTTTATTTTATTTTGAAAGACTTTCAGAAAGACTTAAAAATTTTGTGTAAGCTATGAGGAAAAAAAACGGTGGGAAAAAACTCGCTCGACTTGGTTCTTGTCCTATAAGATCCGCATCAAACATCTGTAAACAATTCGGTTGAAGTATTCTGCACTTTTGTTGGGTAATAGAGATTCTATTTGTGATATTAATATTTCAGCTTTGTGTGGGAATATATATATATATATATATATATATATATATATATATATATATATATATATATATATATATATATGTTATGTAAAACAAGGTGGGGAAAAACAAAGATTTTTTTTATTCATTGTAAGTTCTCTGCATCATAATTTTATTGTAATTGAGACAATGTAGAACAAATTTCCACTGATTTTCCTCTTAACATGGAGAAATTCAAAATATTTTTTATTTGATGTATGTTTCGAATTTTAAGATGGCAAAGTATGAGGCGCCGTTTTGGTATTTACTGCCAAAAAGTGATATCACCTATTCGAATAAGTGATATCACCTATTCAATTGGTGATATCACCTATTCGAATAAGTGATATCACCTATTCAGCTTCTGAATAGGTGATATCACCTATTCGAATAGGTGATATCACCTATTCGAATAAGTGATATCACCTATTCGAATAGGTGATATCACCTATTCAATTTGAATGAGTGATATCACCTATTCGAATAGGTGATATCACCTATTCGAATAGGTGATATCACTTATTCGAATAGGTGATATCACTTATTCGAATAGGTGATATCACTTATTCCTTTTGAATAGGTGATATCACTTATTCGAATAGGTGATATCACCTATTCAAATCAAATAGGTGATATCACCTATTCGAATAGGTGATATCACTTATTCGAATAGGTGATATCACTTAATCATTTTAAATAGGTGATATCACTTATTCCAATAGGTGATATCACCTATTCAAATTATTTATGAAATAACAACTGCTCCCAAGACTATAGCCTTTAATTCTCATTTACTTTCACTTTCGTTTTATTACTTACCATTCTTGCAGACAATGGATTACAGCTTCGCATTTAGTTTTAAGCAGCCCAGTAGAATTTGTAGTTTGTTTTGCTCACAAATTATATTTATTACACTTATCTATCATGTATACTCTAGGAAAATTCAAAGGGTCTGTAAGTCTCGTTGAATTTCACTTTCGTTTTATAACTCCCGGGTACCTGAGTGTTCTTGGAGACAATGGATTACTAAAGTTGTAAGCATCGCAGTGGAATTATTAAACTTGTAGTTTGTTTTGATTCCCGATTGTTGCAAAGAAGAGGAGAAAATGGATTGATAGATGCAGGTAAATAGCGTTTAATTGCTTTATTTTTTCATTACATAACGTAAACACAAGCTATTCCGAGGGGGGCATGATTAGCCAACATACTTAAGCATAAAGGGAAAATTAAATCGTTTTTATTCTAAAATCGTCTGTATTCAAAAGGTACGCTTATCTACAGATTGGTTTCATAAATTTAAAGCATTGATTTAGCTTACAATATGGTATAATTTGGAGTATTGGACAGGTATACATGAGATTGGGATATTGAATGCGATGTCATTGAAAGCAAATAAAAAAATAGATGTACCCAAATGCATCGACCATGGGAATACAAAGTTGAATACCACGTCGATAACATACGATCTTTGTAGAAAACACATTTTTTTTAATTTAATTACTACAATAAATAAAAATGGTCAGCTCAAAATTGGTCATTCTGTAGGCTACCCTGTCTATTCAGAAATAAAAATGGTCACATACACTCAAAAAATAATTATTTTTAATTCTACAAAGAAGAAGGCATTTTTTTCATTTACACATACAAACTGTATTAACTGCCAAGTTTCATGACCACCCCCCCCCCCCTTTTCCAATACGTCTACAATTATGAGACAGACTTTTTTTTTCTTGAAATAGGCATTTTTCTCCATTTGTCATAACATATTACAGGGCTGCACAAGGTACTGAAAAAGGGACAGCGCTTTGAGTGAACGTGTTATCCATGTATCTGCAAATGAAGCAGATCCCCCAGTTATTATACTCATGGAGAGTGTAACAACTTCCAACTTGTTAATGACGGAACTCCATTTAAATCAGGTACAAGTTAAAGTTTAGGCTGCACAATTCTTTATTACAATATTCAAAACTTAATAATTCAGGATCAAGTTCACACAAGCTCACATTCCATGGTTACTTACAACACCATTATGCTAGATAAATTTGTTATACACTTTCATGTTAAATAGTCAAATTTGATTGGTTTAAAAAACATTTGTTAACAAGTACTATTACCATACTGCATGCCAGACATTACATCCCAATGGTTGAAAATGCATGACTACGGGTAACAGTATATACAGTAATAAAAAATGTTAACTGTGCAGAATGTTTGCACGTTCGTTTCACCTTGTTGTTTTCTTTAAAATGCATTCTATAACAAGAAAAATATTACCTGTTTATTTTGGGTGATGTGAAATTCTTACCCCTTAAAAACCATTGCTGACCGAGGCGAGGTCAGCGATGGTTTTTGTGGTATAACAATTTCACGTTATCCTACTAAACATGTAATATTTTCATGTTATATGTACTTCTATTTGTAAATGTTAATGACTGTGAAAAACATAAATATTTATAAATTAGTAAAATCAATTTAATACACTATGAATACACAAAAGGACAAATTTGTACATAATTCTCTATGATTTGGTTAATTAGTTTATATAAAGGATGTAAATGGACATGACATATCATTGTTAATATTCAAGAAAGTGTTCACTGTTTTTCTTGTAGATGCTCCTTTCCATCTGATGTTTTCCAGGTTTTTGTGAAAAGTTTTCTTAAAAATGGCACCATTCAACTACAAATACTATGCCAGTGGAACTGTGATATCAATCAACTGCTTATGACACTATTAATTGGCAGAGAATTTATTTTTTTTTATTTGGGACAAGCAATCTGTTTCAAACATTTTATACCTGCAAATTGGTACATGTACTTCATGAATTGCTTGAAGGATGCTAAAGGCTACTGAAATTCCAAGCCAGATGAAATTCAAAAGGACTGATACAAAAGTCATTGGAAGTTTTCTATTCTTAGTGATGAGTGTTTTTCAGGATGCCCTCTGATATCATAGGTACAACTGGTCACTGTCCTTTGTTAGTTACACATGCAGACAACTTATTAAGGCAGTGATATAAGTAGCTCGAAGTGATGCTTTATTGTTTTCCTCAGATTTATAACCTGGATTGATCTCTGATGCAGTAATTTAAAGCCATGTCTTTTCACTGTCACAAAGTACTGAAATAAAAATAATTTTGATTAAAATATTTCTTTTAATTCACATCATTAAATTTTTAAGCTACAGAAATTCAAATTAATTACCTATTAGTAAATAGAAATCTTTAATTGATTAGCAAGCCTTTGCATTGTCAGATCCTTTTCTGAAAGGGCCATTTACCTTTAACAATGTCAGGACAGGTGAGGCAACTGGCTGGTCTTCATGCTGGAAGTGTGTGTTAACTCTGTAATCTTTTTAAACAAAACCATCCAGTGATGTCCTAAGATTGCCAGATGAGCAGACATATACCTGTATTTAAGAAAGATTCTGTAACATGACATAGAATTTTTGCACAGCTTGACGCACAACTGATGGTATCTTAGGTGCCTGCAAAATAATAAATCTGGCACATATTTATTTATTTGATACAAATCAGAACAAAATTTGTCCTTTTACAGAACAAATTATTTTCATTTTAAAGAAAAGAGAAATGCATATGTACTGTTTTAATACATATAACCTGTATTATGGGATATTTTCACCCCATTCTAATTTTTAAAATATTCACTCTTTCACCCTTGAAAACAATTTTGCCCTTTTAAAATTTGATCAGACACATTTGTGTTTAAAAGATATATGCTGCCTTCTTCGAATTTGTCCCGTTTTAAATTCACCTACTTGTAAGGAGGGCAGAATGAGAAAAATAAAACTTAACTGGGGCAAAAAATTTCCAGAACAAAGTACCATTACTTGCCTGCCTGTTGTACTATAACTCCTCCAACCTTACAATATTCTATAATCATTGCTTTCATGCGATAGCCCCCAGTGGATTGATGGTCTCTTTTCCAAATTATATGCACTTTCTAAAAAGAATGAATTTGTCAATTTATAAAATTTAGTAATACAAGTTAATAAAGACAATAAAACAATGTTAACAACATTTATATGCAAATGAACCTCTGTACAAATCACTTATAAATGATTGACAACTTGTATGGAATATATCGAATACCCTTAATTTTGACATTTGGAAACCCAGCATTAAGGCCAAACAAAAAATATGTGTGGTTCTGGTTACACCTCCAAAAAAAATAGGGAAGGTGGGTAGGGATTTTTTTTTTTTTTTTTTTTTTTTTAACAAAATGATTTTCTAAATTTTTCCAAATAATACCTATTTCTTTTCATTAGCATAAGTGAACTATTTTATGTGTAGAGTGTTAGATATGTTTTCTCTTAAGCATATGGATTAGATATGTGCTTTAATGTGTGAATAAAATGTCTTGGGTATTTAAACAGTTGTTTGCTGATTCTATTCATTCGAGTTCATACTCATCCAGAAAATACAATGTTTGAAGAAAATCAGCATGAGCAAATTGAATTATTTAACTGTTATTTGGATATTATATTTTCTTTTTTTAGAATGTTAAGTTTTTACGAAGATGATAAGTGCTGTCCTTGTTTTTAAAGGATGATATTAATTTCAGAATTGTATATTATAAGTAAAATTAATGGATATCTTAAGCATTATACATTAAATCTTAAATATAGATCATGATTTCTCCATCGGAATCTGCTGCGGAAGTCTTTATACAGGTATATAAAATCTAAAATTGTATATTATAGAATGCGAAAAAACAGAAATATTTTGTGAAGAGCTGAGTATATAAATCATAACTAATAAATGTTTTGTTTATTTTGAATTCAGTCTTTTCCAACTATGGTTCAGAAAAGAAATGTTTTATTTGTGGATGAACAGAGTGAAGGAGAAAATAAGTGGCATTTCGATGTGGCGTGAAATATACTAGTCAACATTGGTAGGGGGCACCCTAGTTATGAATATGAAACAAATATTTTTAAATCAACAAGATGTGTTTGTGAAACACTGATGCCCCCGTATGGCATCTTATGGCGAAGGTTAAAGTTTCTCAAATGCAAGTCAAAATCCAGGCCAAAAGATAAAAAATGTTAAATTTGAAAGCCCTAGCTGCAACTGTTCAAAAGTTATGGCAAAGGTTAAAGTTTTTTAAAATAAGTAAAACATCACGGTCAAGGTCAAAGTTGTTGGTATCCAAAGAAAGGTCTTGTTACAAGGATTACATATGTGAAGTATGAAAGCCCTAGCTCCAACCGTTCAAAAGTTATGGCCAAGGTTAAAGTTTTTCAAAAAGTAGGTCAAACTCTAAGGTCAAGGTCAAAAGGTCATAGTTGTTGGTATTCAAAGAAAGGCCTTGTCACAAAGAATACACATGTGAAGTTTGAAACCCCAAGCACCAACTGTTCAGAAGTTATGGTCAAGGTTAAGGTCTCATAAAATTTTGCAAAAGTGGGTCAAACTCCAACGTCAAGGTCAAAAGGTCAAATATGATGGTACCCAAAGAAAGGTCTTGTCACAAAGAATACACATGTGAAATATGAAAGTCATAGCTCCAACCAATCAAAAGTTATGGGCAAGGTTAAAATTGACAACAGACAGATAGACAAACAGATAAACAGACAAACAGACAGACAGGACAAAAACAATATACCCTCAGGATCTTTCAATCCAGGGGCATAAAAATAATGAAAACACAATCTTTTCTTTTTGTAAAAAATAAAGTCCAAGGTGAACATCCTTTTGTTTAAAATCAGTGTTTATAAATGAAATTAATTACTTTTATCCAGAATAGTTCTTATTTTACTTAATAATAAATTTTGAACGATAAACTTTTAAGAGCTGTCAGAGGAAAAGAATGTGACACCTATACTTTGTACAGTAATGTTTAAAACAAAATAAATCACCTAAGCAACATGACATAGAATGATTCAAATTCGTCAGAATTACAAATATTTAATATTATTAAAATTTTAAATCCTTTCATGAAACCTTTTTGCCTCATTGAAGACTTCATACTTCCAAGCTTATCTCTCATATATATTGGTGTTTTGCAAGTTGACTTTATTCAGGTGAAATCAGCAGTCTTCTTTTTCACGTTTCCTCATGAACTGTTTTTTTTTCTACTTTCGGTTTAAAAGAAACGATCCTGATATAAATTATTTAATAATTTACAAGTTAATCTATCTTACACATTGGGCTAATTCTTGCGTAATCAATGCAATCAAATAAATGTTTTCTCATGTTATCTTCCCTCTAACTCCAAAAAACGTTACCTGGCCAGCTGTCTGTGTGCTTTCAAGCAAGAAGTGATTTCCTATCCTGACTTCACACCTTTGCGTGCATTAATAATAAAGGGACTAATCAGCATGCACTTGTTATAAACCAGCTGTAAACCCAGATAGCACAAAACGTTTTCATAACATTTTATTCCCGTTGTAATGATGTTATCTGAAAACGTTTTTAATAAAACGTTTATAAAATGCTTTTAAAACGTTTTATTTTGGTTGTAAATACGTTATTAGAAAACGTTCTTAACAACCATTTTAAAAATGTTTTTCATAACATTTTGTTCCTGTTGCAAGGAGGTTTTCAGAAAACATTTAGCATTTAACACTAATTTCTATAATGATAAAATATCGCGTAGCTATAAATTGAATAGCATGATTAAAAATAAAATCATACCTTGTTTAATAATTATTATAAATTTCATGAAATACAAATGTTATTAGGCAACATGAATACAACATTGTCTTAAAATGTTTGCAAAACATTGTAAAAACGTTACAAAAATACCAAGCATCAGAAGTTTTTTTAAATTATTTAGTGTAAGACGTTACATGTATATATATATATATATAAAACTTCTGTTTTCTTATAAATAGCTCCAAAGTTTGAGTTATGATTGATTTCGAGTTGTGATAATAAAATTTAGACCCCAAAAATTAAAAACAAAAAACAAAAAACAAAAAAAAACACGGAAATGTGTTTATATTTATCTCTTATACCATTGTAAAAAATATTTATATGTAACAAGGAGAGGGAAAAAAAACAGTTCTAAAAAATTATTTGTTAAGCAAAGTTCCTGAATTAAATAATTCAGTGGAGTCATTTATTTGTGCTATGGGAATTAAGTTCCCCTTCGAAAATGTGTTTATTGAAAGTGACACAGCGGGATGCCATGGCCAGAGCTGATGCAGCCGATCCTTGTTGCAAACTATTTCCATGTGATCTATATAGGTCAACAGAATCACAGTTTTGAAAAACCCGGCGGCATTCTTGTAAGACAAAGAAAAGGAATAGGGGAATATCTTACAAATGTCAACGTACGGTATGTTAAATTTTAAAATAGTATTCATTCTGTATATTTAGCAATCATATTGTAGCTGTAAATACATATGCATTTAGAATCTTAGATCTGTCATTCTCATAGACTTAGGTGTATATATGTTTGTTGAGTGAATTTATAAAGTTCATTGGCATTTGAATTAGGCGGGCGATTTATTGTTTGAAAACTTGGGTTAATTCACATGTATTAAAAATGTGCAGGTTTCAAAACATAATTAAAACATAGTTGGGAATAAGAATGGGTGTGGGAGGGCGTCTTAACAAGACAGGTTAAATAACTCTTAAGAGATGTAAAATTATTTGTTCGATTTTTCCGAATTTGTGTTATGTATTACAGAATACAATGCCACGTTAAACCTATTTTCGTTTGGAAGGAAAAGGAGAGGAATTGATTAATCTCAGGCTTGATTATATATTTGCTAGCAGTCAAAGATTTTGAAATCCACTTACTTCATTATAAAATATAACACTCATTTTAGATGAATGCAATGGTTTCAATGCAGGGTGAAGATATGAGGACATTGATACAATTAAATTGCATGGGTCAATTCAACGAGACTGGACAGAGGGTTGAAAAGTGCAAGCTTTTAAAGAATTATTAAGAGTAAGTTTTATCACCATTAATGCTAAGAAAATGCATTACGATTCAGTTAACATATCAACTTATAAATCATTGGAAAATGTATACAGCAAATGGAAAATGATCTAAATACTAGTAATGCTGTGTTGTTTTCATTTACCTATTAAACATAGGCGTCGGAACCGGGGGGTGGGGGGGGGGGGCTAGCCAGCCCCCCACTTTTTTTGCAAAGATAGACATAATAGAGTTAGTGAAATTTTTTGTTGGTTTAGCCCCCCCTTTTAATTTGCTTCCGACGCCTTTGTTAAATATGTTCATATGTTTCTTATAATGAATTTCACATTACATTTTAATAGCTGCTGCTTACAAGGCTTACAAAGCATCAAAGACAATCTCTTACGATTTAATGAGAGGTGGGACGAAGAGTTTTGATCCATACCTTCCTGGAGGAATTCATTAAATATGAAAAGGTATGTTTGAAGTTGGTTGTCAGAAATATATAGATATACTTACACCTGTAATTTTTTGTTTATTAATACAACTGTATACCAAAACATACTTTCTTTGTGTTTATCAGATTTTTATATACTAGTATGTGTAGTTAGTTGTCAGATGCCCTAATACATGGATATGTTTAACTAAAAAGAAATGTACGAGTATGAATGGGTAATCATTTAGTCAAAGTTTTATGTCCAAATCTTTGTTTTTCAGAAGAAAATAGAGAAGTCCAAGTGTAAAACAGATTACTTTCTAATGGAATAAGGATGCTGTGATCTTTTCGTTTTTCAAACAGTAAAAATTTTATTTGAGGGAAGACTGTAATTTTATTGTGCAGGTGTTAAAAAAACAGTGTTTAGACAACATTAATGAATGGATTCAAATTTATTAAATTATAAGAAATATATTGTTTATTATGTTGTAAAATTGATTTTAACGCTTTAAGAAATGTTCTCAAAACGTTTTTAAAAATGTTTCCCAAACGTTTTTAAAAATGTTTTTAAAACATTACAGTACAATGTTTTTGCAAAATGTTATAATAACGTTTAAAAAACCACACAAAATAACGTTGTAATAACGTTTTAGAAAATGTTTTCATAACATTTTCATAACGTTTTTATAACGTTTTAATAACGTTGTTGTGCTACCTGGGAACAGAGCAACTAACTGAATCTCGCCACTCTTGGGCATATTTATTTAATTTTGGCAACCAAAAAACAAACAAACAAAAAACATGGCGCTGGAAAAAGGTATTCTGCTGCGCCATGCTAACTTGCTTTAGATTTAACACCATGAAACACTTGCACTACGTGTTGAAACGATTTTTGCATGGAGGTCGCCATTGCTGGAACTAAAACTAATACTGAAGTGGATGACGGAAATCACGGAAAATTCCGGAAAATAAATATGAAAATTGCCAGAAAAAAGTTAAGGGTCGGGGATCTAAAATAGGGACGGTCGGGTAACGGGAACCACACATATTTTTTTATTTGGCCTTATAATATTCCATACATGATTGAGCTGTCACCTGATGAACCTTTAATTCTTTTCTATTTTTTATATGCTTTATATGTATATGAATTATAAGAGTAAATGTAAGTCCAAAAACTTATTTTGTGACATCAATTTCATACCTGTATTTGAGTTGCCTTTTTGAGGATATACCAGGTAGATTATTCAAAGTCGATGTACATGTAGTCTTACATGCTGCAGTTCTCTTGTACTTTAGCTATAAAATAAATTTTAATGAATACAATTGTGTAAGATGAAAGAATATTTCAAACACTGAAACAGACTGAAACCTTAACAGACCAAAACTTTAACCAAAATATCCTCTATAACATGCTCTCTAAACTGAAGAGTATGGTCATATAATTGCAGTCATATGAATTTTGTTCAATGATAAATGCAGAGAGAATTTGCAGAATACATAAAGAAAGTCTTATCGTTGGGAAATAAGCAGGTCCAGTACAATCTCTTAATTTAGCTATATAGCTTGAAATAGCTATATAGCTTTATTAAGCTATTCAAAATAGCTTAATTTAGCTATTTATATGCAGTTTTTCACAAAAATTATTTTGGTAAGAAATAGACAAAAAGTTGCATGTATTTGACCATTCATATATGTGCTATGGGCTATCGAAACAACAAGCAAAATCAAAGATATCTCCAACTTTGCAACTTTTGAATACTTTTAAGCAAAAGATAAATTTCTATTATTTGAGTAACTGTCCACTACCTTGTGTGCATTGAGGCATGGATAAGTATGATTGCTTCTCATTGTACTGAATTATTACCAATCAATTATCTTCTTGACCATAATTGGCCTCCTTTATAATTTCATTGAAGAAGTAACTGTATCAATTGCGCACGTAGCCTAAAAACTTTTAGAACTTTGAGTACAAAGTCTCTTTTGTTTCTATTTTCCTAATTATCTCCCCTTGTTTAAGGGTCACAACCCTAGTTTTAGTATAAACGGAAGCCCTTGGCCCAAGGATACCCTGTGACAAATTTGACAATAATTGGCCAAAGGGTTCTTGAGTTATGGCCCATATTCTAAAAAGTTTACGCACACCACACAAATGGCCATAGCATTAGCTCTTTGGGCCTTTGGCTCAGAAGAGCTAAAAATGAACCTCTTACATTGATTTTTGGTTGATATTTTTTACAGTTTTTTTATGAACAATGTACTACAGTATTTTCACCCAAATTCCAGTATTTTGAGGACTGCTGTACAGTATTTGGGCCTAAAAATTATTACATGAATGCAAGGAGATTTTAATGAGTGAGTTTTATAATGCATCAATTTCAGATGAGTTCAAGGTTGAGTATCATCACTGCACCAAGGTGCGACTTTTTGTGCATGCTGAGAAAAGTATACATTTAAGAAAAACTGATATAAAATAGCTAAATTAAGCTATTCTGAATATAGTTAGAATAATCTAACTGTGTCTTGGGACAAGCCCTCACCACAGTTAGAATACGTCCCATATACTTGCAATGTAGCAAATCGGAGTGGATCCACTCCGAAATGATTTTGAAGAATACAAAAGGAGTACGTTGCATTGAAAATAACTACCAAATTAATCATAACAAACATTTTTGAGATTGTATATGCCTTTTAACCTACAAATTAATCCATATAATTATATACGAAAATTCAACTCATTTTCTCAACTTTTTTTCCTTGCTTCAAATTTAACGCCATGTTGACATTCGGAACTCTCTGGATTCTTCCCACAAAATGCAGAGAATTCGAGTTATCGCCCATGTTTATTTTGCTACATTGCGAATACACGGAACGAATTCTATCGTTAAACCGGGTCCGTAGGACAATATCATTTTAACGATAGAACGTTCTATCTATTCTGAATAGCTTAATAAAGCTATATAGCTAAATCAAAAGATTGTACTGGACCTGATAAGTGCTTTCAAACATTGAATACTTATAAAACTAGACCCACTGACATGCAACAGCTTAATTTCTGTTGATAAATGAAGCGTATTCTGAACAAATTATTTACCCAAACAAAGGTGATGCTGTCACAAGATGACGTTCGTACTCATCTGACACTTACACTACTCCTCCTTAATCAGCTGGTAATAACATCATTATCCCCGAATTCAAGAAAAATCTGTTAATAAATTAGTTGTAATGATGATAACAAAACTATTCTAATCAGATACAAATGTATAATATAAGACTTCTATTTCACCCAAGAATACCCAAGAAGCAGGTGACATTCTCTGACTTGTTTACCTGTACTTCGATCGAAATTCTCCTCCTACTTGCTCGCACCCAAGCTTTTATGACACTCAATTTATCCATCGTAAGTCAGAGAACCCTTCGGCTTTGTACAACTGCTTAAACTTTCCTTATACGCTTTGTGTAAACCATAAACATGCATAACCCAATACACATCTTGCATCTCCATGTGTGAGGTACCCGGAAGTTAATATTATCGAAAAATCTCGCGAGTCACGTGACGAGACTTACAGACCCTAATGCAGCCCGAATTTGCTTGGTTCCAATGAAAATGTAGATAATCTTGAGGAAGGGAGCATTCATTATTTATTGTTGTAAGAAATGCAAATAGGTGATATCACCTATTCGAATTGGTGATATCACCTATTCAAATTGAATAGGTGATATCACTTATTCGAATAGGTGATATCACTTATTCGAATAGGTGATATCACCTATTCAGCACGAATAGGTGATATCACCTATTCGAATAGGTGATATCACCTATTCATTTCGAATAGGTGATATCACCTATTCGAATAAGTGATATCACCTATTCGAATAAGTGATATCACCAATTCGAATAAGTGATATCACCTATTCGAATACGTGATATCACCTATTCAATTTGAATAGGTGATATCACTTATTCGAATAGGTGATATCACCTATTCGAATAGGTGATATCACCTATTCGAATAGGTGATATCACTTTTTGGCAGTAAATACCAAAACGGCGCCTCATAGCAAAGCGTTGTTGGAACTCGGAAGTCTTTCATGTGTTCATTGTGTAGATCTTTCGAATTTAAGATGGCAAAGCGTTGTTGGAACTCGGAAGTCTTTCATGTGTTCATTGTGTAGATCTTTCTGACACAGACATACGGGTATATCAGAACGGACGATATATCAACTAAGATGTTGAGATGGCGACTAGTTAGTTCTTTGAATAATCTGTTTTGAATTACATGTAGTGTCGATAATATAATGAGAAGCATATTTACCAAATTACAATTCTACTTTTCTAGTCAGATATACAAGGAATGAACTAAATACATATATTTGAATTATACTCCCTCATAAATGATCAAAAACAAGATATGAGCAAATTTTCTTGTGAAATATTTAATTAATTAATTAAATATATACAAGATTTTCCATGGTTTGTGATTGAATTTGATTAAGTTGTCTTTTTCCTCTCCTTGGAGTCTTTATTTCCTGGGAAATTTTCACAAGATAGTGCGAAAAATGCAAAGTACTCTTTACCTCACCTGACTTTAAAGCTCGTTAGCTTTTCTGATCAAGTTTTTCCCCTGTTAACTCCCCAGAACCGATTTCAACGAAACTTGACACAAAGTTTCCTTGGTTTAAGGGACTTCAAGTTGTTCAAATGAAGAGCCAAGCCCTCTTTCAAGGGGAGATATGAATTAAGGCAACAATAGGGGAATATAAATGAATACATTTTTGTAAAGAACAACAGAGTCATGGCTTAGTGATTTTGATGCATTCTTTGGTACAGTACAGATTCAGGTTGTTCAAACGTTGGGATATGATGGGACCATGATTGGGAATCAAAGCATCTATGGAAAAATGATTTAAAAATCCATTTCTCAATGATTAGTAATTATTAAGATGCATGCAACCTGAGGTCGTGAATATTCAAAAGTTTGTTCAAATCATGAATATATATGAAATGTATGGAGATAACGAACAGTATTCAAGCTCAAAAGTCCATTAAACAATACAAATTTTGGAGCAGAGCAAACACAGACCTCTAAACACCAGAGGTGGGATCAGGTGCCATGGAGGAGTGAGCATCCTCTGCCGACCGATCACACCCGCCGTGTGCTCCTTGTTATGGTCGGGGTATAACGGAAAAATCCGTCGACAATTAAGTGTGTAAATAATGGCCTAACAATTGGTATGAAAAACGTCAGTCAGCATTTGACTTAACGATAAATTGTATTACTTGACAAGGTCAGTGTATCGACCATAGAAATGACGACTTTAAACGAGGCTACTGATATTCTTGTTTCATCAACTTGTTTGTATATAACTTACATCATTTTAGAAATTACTCATACGTAGAGCATGCTCTTGCGTATCGAATCAACTGAGGGATATAAAACCCGTATGCAGGTGATGAAGGTATATTGCTGCATAAGTAAGGGAAGTTGACGATTGAAGAGTTAAAATTCATCACGTTTATCATATAAAGCTTGGTTGTTAGATTACCATTAACGTCTTGTATATAAGGATGTTATTTCTAAAACTCTTTTGAGAATCAGCAGGGGCACACTAAATCCGATTCATATGGAAACATTCCCAAGTTTCGTGGATTAACGTTTTTGTTTTCAAGTTACTGATCCTGAGGGTGATAGAGTAGGGCTGAAATTAAATAGGAATTTTTACCTAATTTGTTTACTTCTGCAGAACAGTAGAGTCATGTAAGTCATAAAGGAGCATGTGTGACTTCAAATAGGATACGTCTTGACCTATAGGGTAGGGTGGGACCACGATATGGGGTATGAATTATTCATGTGAATAAAAAAGGAAAATATCTTTCTAAATCAACAGCAGGGCCAAGGTGACTCAGAAAAGCATTGTGGCCCATAGGCCTCTTGTTTATTCAGATGACACTCTCCGTTTCTATGAAAAAAAGAAGAAAAAAAAATATTGTCATGTACAATTTTTAATACATACATTTAATTTCCTTATTAGCATCTTTGTTGACAATAAGTCCAGAATCTGATGAATGGATTCGTTATGGAAGAGATTTGAGTGTGACTTGTACCTTTTCATCAAAGCACCAGGAAAAAATTCAACTGTTTCATGATGACAATGTCATACAAGTCAGCGATCAGGTGACCACTACTTTAGAGACTTTCACGGAGGCTGACGAAAAGCAGACGACAGTCTTCAAGTACCTCAAGACTGACGTTAACTTTGACGACTCGGGAACCTACGAATGTAGAGCAGATAATAAGAAAAAGAACGTCAAAATTCAAGTTGTGAAAGGTAACAGAGCATAAAATATGCAATGGCAAATTCTTCCAAATTCATAGAAAGTTGGTATTTTGTCACGAAATGGTTTAAAGGGTAGCACAAAATATGCAAAACAACACAAATGGCTGAATTAAACTTTCCATAAGCAACATAATCGAGGGTTGTCGATGAAGTTCGTACGCAAAATGCTATTGATATATTTTTTTAATAAATGAAGACACACTGCCAAACTTGTATAATATTATTTTAATATAGACCATGATGTAGTAAATGTATAAAAAATTAAGCCAATACAGACTATTTTACGATCGTTTTAGGTGTAACTTGTTTGTGCGTGCAAGCCGCTCGACTCATTCCGACGTAAAGCTAGTTTTGTGATAACGTCAAAAATATGGATTTTGATTTTTTTTTTTATCACGTGTCCGTGGACACGCGCTATCTTTTCTTTATTATGTCACACTGCCAAGTGTGTTTAATAATAGTTGTATATAAACCAAAATTGAGTAAATTTTAAAATTCAAAACAATACATGATCATTTCCGATCGAGTGCCATCAGTATAAATACTTTGTATACACAGGCTGCACGTTGCAGTGCTTGTACTCTCTACCAAATTTTGCATACCGTTGAAAAATCGAATATATACATTTAAAATCATTGAACTAAACATAATTCCAATAAATTTCAGTCGTTTAAATATAATTATCTTGTCTTCGATGTTGTCTCAACCATATTCCAACATACTTTAATGATTGGGCGTTGTTCCATTCGGATGGCCGACGTCGTTTTTTGAAATATAATTCTTGGGTTTTTCTCAATATATTCACTAGCTGTCCAAGATATCAGAAAATGACGACAGCCATTTTATTTGCTACGCATTTAATTTTTATGAAGCTTTGACTTGTTTTACAAAGAAAATAATCATTTTAATCCGAAAACTTTATTTCAAAGTCCATGGCATTTTAACACTAGGCCATTCGCACTATCTGTTGACCTTTATATGGTGTCCGGAAAGGGCCATTTGCAAAAGCTCAACAGCGCGTTCAGAAAAACACGCCGTCGCGCTAACACACCGTCACGCTAACACACAACAAGCCATCGCGCTAACACATCATTGAACAACACGCCCTCACGCTAACACAAGTTCGCACAACACGCCGTGGCGCTGACACACAACACGCTTCAAGTTTAAACAATAAAACCAAACTATTCTGACTTTGATTTTCATAACAAATACTTTGGTATACTGTAAGTATATAGGACCATTCAGTTTGACAAAAATATCATTGTCCACAAACTTTATGGATAGCGTCGTATACGTTGTTAAAAGCTGTTTCGCTGTACATAGAAGATTATAAAACAGAATTTAAGAATACATTTTACACGTGTTTCAGGTCGATTAAAGATATTTCCTAAAACCGAGCGAGTGATCGCATTTCAGGGAGAACGTGTGACATTAACTTGTGAATATCAGGGAAGCCATCGACTAGATGTAAGGTGGTCTTCAAGTTCCGGGAGAGACCTAAAGCAGAGTGGTTTCGTCATTGGCAGTATTGTTAAAAGTGGTGATCATATCCTAACCAAAGTAGATATCTCCAAGACTTCTGCCAGTTTTTCTGATTCTGGCGAGTACTCTTGCACTGCTGGACCATTTTCCAAAACTGTTACTTTAGAAGTATATCAAGGTAAACGAACGCTAGAATTCTGAAATTTAAAATTTTTAACCAATTTATGGGACAAGTTGAAAAATTTAAAAGAAAAAAAACAGGAAGTTTCATAGGAACACATTTTTGTAATAAAAAAATGTTTGCAACACGATCTTTTTGGCTTATAGGTGAATGCAGCAACAATTTGGTGACGGGTCCACATGGCGTTGCTGACAGTCACTTGACCGCATCCTCCTTCTACGAGGACTCCGTGTATGTGGACGGTCCTGACCGGGCGAGATTAAATCTCGAGGACGAGAAAGTGCAGAGAGAGAACGGAAATTTTGTTATTTTGGGTGGAGGGTGGATGGCAGACGAAAAAAGCAAAAGTCAATGGATACAAGTGAGATTGAGCTTTACCAGTTAAACCTTAACTGTTCTACCAAAAAAGAGTATCCTATCTTTTGTATTGTTTTGTTTCACATTTAAAGGGATTTGCCAGACTTCAATACATCTTAAAATATTATTGACAATATTGTTGACAATTGATTTCAAACAAGTTATTATACTCTTTTTAGGTTGAATTTAAAGCACAGAGTGTTGTTCGTTCAATTTTGACTCAAGGTCGATTCGAAGAAAGGTGTTGTAACCAATCAGACTGGGTCACAGAGTTCAAAGTTCATTTTAGCCAAGATGGTATCGTTTGGCTCAAATACAAAGACCAATCTGGAAATGACTTGGTAAGTCAAAGAAAAATTAATTTGACATTTAAGTAATCTATTGAAAATAATAAGAATTTTTTCATTGTTCAAGTATAATTTTAAAAAAAGTGATTGCTGTATTAAAAAGAAAGTCTTGAGCTTTCGTCATTCAATTTTCAGCAAAATCCCCCGACACGTAGGTCCATACAAAATAAGCTGGTAACGGCATTTTACTATTTGTCATAACATGCTATAGGCTAAGCTTGTGGGAAGGTAATAATAATCCTATTAAGTATATTATAAACGGAATATGTTTTCTTAATCATGTTTTTAATTTTCCAGAATTTTCTTTAGAATAATTTGATGAAATTTACAGTTAATTTGCATAGAAATGTATAATAGAGATTTCATCTCTTTTCTAAGAGAGATATTATTTCTTTTCTTTTGAGTGGAAAAATATACAATATATTTACATATACATGTATTGTGTATTAGTATGAAATGAACTTATATCGATGGATAGATTCAAGATGATTAAAATCATTCTTAAAAATTATAATTCTATAAAGTGGAAATATTTTACAATTATGCAAACTTGAGAATCTTCCTAATATCCGAAACATCATAGACTGTATATGCGTATTTAATGTGCATTTCCACATACCTCACTAACCTTTCTATAAAGAAATGAGATCTATTTCTTGAATGTGGTTCCAGGGGGTGCTATTAAAATTATCTAACCGCAAATTAAAAGATGAGCTTGAAATCGGTGAAAAGGTTTATTTAGATATTAAAACTGATTCCATAACAAGCACCTGCTGACCTAAACGATCTTCCTACTACTATAGATATATCAAAGATTACTTTTTTTCTTATGTATGCATTAAGAATTCTAAATATCCACGCAGACAAGATCAAATGTAAAATTTATTATTTTTTACTGACACGGGTTTTAAGGTTGTGTAACTGTTCCTTAACTCTTTCTTTCTCTAGATGTACATGTATAACCCTTTTGTGAAAATTTCTTGATTTTTCAGAAAGAAGTCTAAGCAGAATCCAAAGAGCAAATAAAAAAAAAATACTAGTATTCATATACTAGATAATTGATACATAACTAGATCAACTTATTAAAATCGATCATTTGTAAAATCTTATTTATTTGATGCCAATTAGAGAAATAGAGTGTTTACATAATCACCACCTTAAATGCAGAACGTGTTTCTGTACGTCTGTTACCTGTATCACACCGATGATTTTTTTTTTTATATCCTAGTTAAGCTGTAATTACACCCTCCTTAGAATCTCGCCCAATTTTTTATGAGTAGTTTAAATTCATGCAAAATATTTGTTATTATTTATTATTTTGTCGGAAATAGTACAGTATTATTTATTTTGTTTTGTCTTTTCATGTTTTTTTTTTCATTTTGAGTGAAACCCTTTATAATTTTTGTTGCAGTATTTTCGCGCTAACGATGATGCCAACACGATTGTTGAGAACGACCTCCCCTCCCCCATTATAACAAAGTATATCAGAATTTACCCCACCGCTTGGCACAACAAGATCGCACTAAGACTGGAAATCAAAGGCTGTCTTATACCCCAAAGTTTGTATCAAGCATTTCAATTTTAAAATAAATTGCTCTGCCATGCACTTCTGAAGAACAACTCTCTAGAGAGAAAGATCACCTAAACATTTTTCAATGAATTGCTAAAAATACGATTTGCAGTTATAACGAGTAATACAAAGATTTTTTAAATAAAGTTATTGGTTTTATGAAATTTTTTATGAGCTTGGAACCAATTGCAATGCTGTTTGTTACAGATTTACGAATTAAGAATCCAGTTCAGGGGGTAATCAATTTACCAGTCCCGATGGCTTTGAAAATTTCTTGCGAGTACACTGGTCCTAAAAAAGACATTTTGTTTTGGTCCAAGAACTTCGTTCGTATGGAAACTGTAAGCGGCTTCAGAAGAACGTCCGTGGAGCAGTTGTCTGGAGGAAGGGTCACCATTACAGATACAATCATAAAACAAAAGACCGAGTACTTGGATTCGGGAAATTACACGTGTTTTGTTCCAAACAGTACATTTAGCGCAACTGTGACTGTCCATGCAAGTGAGTTCAATGCTGTAAATAAAATGTAAGGTGTGTTTTATAATTGATACCATACTGTTTCTGTAAGTTAATAGAATAATAATAAAAACTTTTTTAACGTTTTTATTTACCAGTGAAACTTGACAAGAATCCAAAAATCGAGAGATACTGGGTGTCATCCCAGAATGCTGTGCAACTCTCGTGTGAATACCGTTCTATCAACCAGCGAGATTTCACATGGGAATATTCTGGTGTGAACATTAACAACCGCCAATTCCAAATCAGTAGAGATATTAAAAAGTCTGAGGGTGCTATATTCGTGACATCATCTATACATAAACCATATGCTGAGGCCACCGACAGCGGTAACTACACATGCCGTATTGGAGAGATGTCTCGGTCCTGGGAAGTGAATGTACTCTCGGGTATGGTTGAAAAAATTCTACAAGGAAACTGTATGTGTACTTAAAAAAGCGGGCTTCATATTTTAGCGGCTTTTTTTGCGCGGACATTAATGCGCTAATTCATGAATACCGCTAAGAAATCATATATTAATACAATATACGGCGCGAAAGTATGTATAAGCGCTAATTCATGAATACGCCAACACCTCAATACCCAGTTAAATTTGGAAAACGCCAATTTATGTACACGTACAGTAATCTTAAGTTGCTCCTGTTCGTGAATTTTCTTAAAATTCCACTATACTAGCACATTTCTGAACAAAACTCACAACAAAATTCTTAAAAATTTGCGAAATACATGTAGAAAGGATTGATAAACTACAACTCTTTTTGTTTCGTTATATTTTAAGTAAATGGTAATGGTTCCTGGCAAGCAATCACACCAAACAAAACAATGTATCTGGAATGTGATGTAAAAGGTTTGCCAAAGGATGCTCTTTATCAAATGTTCTGGACGAAGGAAGGGGTGCCACTAAAAGAAGTTGATGCCAACGGAAGAATGAACTATTTTCCAAATTCCAGAACTCTTCAGATTATTCGGACTCGTACGTATGATATTTGTAATCTCAAGTGATGTTTGTCCTTTTCAGATGATTTTTATTCTAGAGAAATCATTAACCAAAGGTAATATGTTGTGAAATCTGTATTTCATCCAGAGCCCTCGGACGCAGGGAAATATGAATGTAACATACTTTTGGAAGTGGGGACCCCTGCTCAGCAACAGGTTTCCATCACAAAGGAAATTTATGGTAATTAGAATACAAGCAAGATGGTTATAACAGTGTTTGATTTCTTCATTTTATAATAAGACCAAAACCATTAAAAAGTCTTTTCTTTCAGCCCCACCTAGAACAATGATCGATGGCATGAAAACTATAAACGTGGGAGATTCCCTCCACATGTATTGTAAAACCTCTGGATACCCACCGCCATCCATCGTTTGGAAGAAGAATCATAAGAGTCTATCGGAGTTATCTTCTCGGGTCACTTTTTTGCCGTACGGGGGCTTGGAAAACGGGCACCTTGTAGTTTTTGACGTCTCAGGCAGTGAAGCCGGGGAATACACATGTGAAGCTAAGTCCGACTACTTTAAATCGGCAGAGTCACGCCTTCAAGTGGAAGTAAAGGGTAAAGATAAATTGATATGTCATATTGTTGTTATTGATATAAAACCTCATTTATGCCTTTCTCAAAGAGGAAGTGAATACCGTTTTAAATACCATGTAAATACTCTAAAAGTGTCAGATTTATGTACATTTCTGTGGATATTTCAGAGGTATCGTTGGCGACTAGTCCCCCTCTGTTGATTGCTATCATCGTTGGGAGTGTTGTCGTCTGTCTTGCAATTATCTGTTGTGGAATGTACGTCAAATGCAATCAAAGGGCAAAGAAAAAGAACTATGCATGTAAGTCTCTACTTGTGTATTATACAATGATTTAATTTCTCTAAACAAATACAATAAACATGTACAGACTGTATGTCACCCCCTCCCCCTTCTTTAATATATTTTATCAGCTTCTGACAGAGAAAGGAAACGAATGGATAAACAAGACAGTATTTAAATTCTTTGAAAAGGTTATAAAGATATATTAAATCTATGTCATAAGGACAGAAAAATAAAAAGAAACCATATGGGTTGTTTTTTTTCAGATGATACAGATAGTCTTGAAAGACTTCGCCAGTCAAGACCACGCTTGTAAGATCACTTATAAATATTGTTGTCAATCATTAAATTTTAAGAAAACCAACAAAAAACTTATGTACGGAAATGTTAAAGTGTGTTGCAGTATTTATTATTCCTATCTTTAGACCAAGAAACAACACATTTGAGGAAGATCAACCTAAACTTATAAAATTGATTGAAGAAAATCATTTCTACTCCAAAAGACCGCCTATGTCTTCACCACCACCGTCTGTGGCATCTCAGAGAAGTGTGGGGACCTTCGAGTCGGTCTCGTATGAACGGGAACCTTTTCGTCCCAAACTGGCCACTCCCGACCCAACACTGAGTGACGAAGAGGAGGGATATAATACTGGGTCAACACGAGAAAAAGTACGATTTTCCTTTGAGGACATAAAATGATGTCAGTTGACAACTTTGACCAATAGTGCAATGTGGACAGAGCAACTGAACAACATTCCATTTTATACACATTATATGCATACTTATTGAATATCATTTTAGTATAATAATGTTAATAACATAGTACACACATGTAGCTTTTGTGTCATGTCCATGTTTATTTACAATTACATAAGAAGTGAATGTGTCTCGTGTCAAATGCAAAACAAATTTATTCACATCTGTTCAATGGCATAAAATACAAATCCTTTGCAATGACATATAATGACATATCAATCAAAATAAAACTATGAATTTTTTATGTGTACATGTCTTCATACATATCTGTTTGCATTATTTCAAAGATTTACGTTGAAAACTTTACAAATCTATTAACAAGAAACCTACAATGTATTTGTGTACTTAACATAAAGAATATATACATGTATACTGATTCAACCTTGATTATAATATTTGTTCACAATACATCAACACACAAAGTACTTAAAATATCAATTACATAAGCAAAAATAAGCCCAAAGAGTAAATTTTCTAGCTCTAAAAAGGTTCGTAATACATCATTTATATAAACATAAAGATGATAACAATTTGACAAGAAAAACTTACAAATAACAAAAATGAATTGCAAAATGAAAGAAATTGACATCATATACCATACACATAAGATATGTACTTACATATTGACTTCCAAATGTATTAAATGTGAATAGTACAAGAAATCTAATAGTTGGAACACAAAACTAGCAAAAAAAGATAATGGTTAATAAATGAACATTTACAAAATTAAATGTTTGACCCCTTGAACAGTGACTGGATCATCCCTTCTTTATCGATTTACACTTATTATGTAAATATCAAAGACTTTGGTAGACACTTTCTAGGTTTGACATTTAAAGCAAACTTCCCTGCAGACAATTTCTTTTTTCTCTCACAATCGGATTTCTCCCCAGAATCTATCGTTTTTTTTTAATGTCATCGAAGATCAACGTACGTCACGACTGGTACATAGATAGTCCTATAAACAGAAACAATGAAAACCCGTAAATCAATTTATACACATTTAGAAAATAAAAAAAAGATTCGCTGTCAAGATGCTTCCTGATGTTATTACATGTGCTTTTTAGTCAGATCAAATTCCTACATGTACTTACAGATTTTTTGTTATGTGATGGTACTTTAAACCCTAGAATTGACAATAGATATACCTCGATCTGTAGTAAGTGTTGATTCCCCACGAAACCTTCTCTTTGACTTGTTCTCGCTGTTGTCTTTTGTTCCATGTTATGATACTGTTGAATGTAAAATTTAATAGGAACTCGACTTGCAAGTATGATGCATAGGAAATCCAATATACTCCCAGTATTAAACATTTTAAATATTAAATAAAAACTGGTCATGTACTTACACTCTACATTGACCAACGATTGTATCGAAAACGACAGCGTTTCCTTGGTATCTCATCTTGTACGAAGGACACGTATTTTTTCGTCCAACTGTACTAGCATTGACCGCTGAAAAGAAAAATAAGTATTCTCACTTTACCATATCACTACCAAAATATATAGTAAATTTTAAATACGTTTACCTCACTGACTGATATTGGATTAAAGAAAATGTATTTTGTTGTCATTGTTGCAAACCTGTCCATGTTCCTTCCAATTCTAAAGCAATTTCCCTGGCATTTGCTCGGACTGCGTCCTTCCAAGAACCGCTAAATATATTGTCCCCTGCCGCCCCAACCCCCTGTGGACCCCTACCACCTCTTCCTCCAGGTTGACCGTCTGTTGTTGTGGCGTAATCATTTTCGTATTCGTACTCTCCCTCCTCTTGAGTTGTTGATTGTTGTGTTGGCTTTTGTGTTTGTCGAGAAGACTGTGTTTGTTCCTCTTCAGTCTCGTTTTCAGTTTCGACGGAAGTTGTACTGGGACTTGAGATTGTACCACTTTGTTGTGTCGTTTGTTCTTCTGTATCCAGTTCCAATTCGTTTTCGCTGTTTGTAGTTGAAGGATTAGTGGTGGTTTTCACTCCTTTCCGAATTCCATTTTTGGTTGTTGGTAATTGCCCTTCCTGTTCAAGTTCATTTTCACTGTTTGTGGTTGTTGGATGTGGAGAACCTGTGACAATCGGCTGCGGAAAAGAATTAGGTTTATGTCGCCCCAAACCCAGCATGTTCGTTCTAGCCAAACTTTGAGCACCTTTTTTGTCTGATAATTTAGAATTTTTTATAACCGTTCCTGGAGGACTGGTCCTTCTAAGATCCATATGAGAATTTTTGTGCTGTCCACGGACTTGTGCAATTGATTTCAAAATTCCTGACTTTGAAGGACTGTAACGTCCCGTGGGATTATTTCTTCCGGACCCAACCTTATATTTCCCTGATTTTCGTGGAGCTTGTTTATATCCGGTCAGATGAACAGCATGAGCACTTTTGATTGGCTTTTGTTTTTGTGGGTATTGAATCTTTTGTTTGCGAAATTGTTGTGACAGTAGGGATACATTAGGTATTTTTGTTATCTTTTCGACCTTAACTGCAGTCTTTTGGTATTCTAGGGCAATAGGAGTATCTTTCCTATGAAAATCTGTTAATCTGGACTTCATTTCCGAAATGATATTTCTACCTCCTCCTCTTTTTGCACCGTTCAGTGGTTCTCGTGTATTATTAACTTTGTGAACTCCTCCTTGCTTGTTATGCGACTGTTTATGATAGGGTAATACTGGTTTCATTATACGCGGAGAGATCATCTTTTCGGCTGAATTTAATCTAAAGTTATCCGGATTATATGACTTATGGTTCAACATAGATCTTATCGGAATCCCAGATTGTTTCTCTATCATATTGGATTGCCTGCTGGATAAACCATGTTCTTTCATCGGTTTGTCGTACCTTTTTCTACCAACATGGCTTGTTGTGGCCATTTGATGCAGTTTTGTATTTCCGTTTTGTTCATTTTTCCCATTTGATGCCTTTTTCATTGGTATTGCATTAGAATAAGGAATCAGTTGTATATTATGTGCCTGAATCATTTTACTCGTTGTTCTTTGACTTAACCCTGCAGAATTAGGAGCAGCGATCTTTGAATCTGGTTTCTGTTCAGTTTCTAGGAGAGTTAGTTGTAATTTCTTTGCAGGTGCTGGAGGTCGATTTATGTTGGCTAATCTTCCATCAATTGATGCTGAAGAAGGTGAATTTCTTTTTTCGACGTTACTAGAGTTAGGATAGCTAAATACACTATTTGTAGGTACTTCAATCTGATCCAAAACAATGGGTGGCTCTGGTGGGCTCTTCTGATGGCTGTTTGTCATTTCTCGTTGACCAAGTTCCTTAGTTAACCTTGTAGGGATTTCTGGAAGCTTTATGTGAACATTGCCCTGACTTGGAATATCAGGATATATATCCACTTTCGTATCGGTTTTGGTTGATGATTGTTTATTAACTCTTGAAGGAAAACCCTCGGATATTATATTGGGTGGCCTTTGTGGTTGAAGGCGATCCTTTCCAGAATCTTTAAAATCTGATTTTAAATCTTGTATAGATTTTCCCTCAGCAACTTTGGGATAAGGCAGATCACGGAGTTGTGGTTGGTTGGCGATATTCTTTGTTATCAATGTCTTTATGAAGGTTGGTTTAACCTGCTGGCTATTTTCAACATTAGATGTTAACTTGGTTAAATTCATATTCTTTTGATATGTAGCAGGATTCTTTTTGGCAGTGGGTTGTGATTTTCTGTATTTGTAAGACATTCTGTCGTTGACACTCCCATCCCAAGATGCCTTTGATAGATCTGATGGAATGGCCGTTACAGAGGATGGCATGTGTGACAGAGTAGATATTGGCCTCTTTCTGATAGTGGCGGCTTTCTCCTTACTAGGAGCAGTTTCTTTCTTTGAAACAGTCTTAATAGATTTTGAAAGGGGTTTTGTTTTTTGATCATTGGACACAGAGGGATACGCTTGTGGTGAAATGAAGGGTTTTGATATAACGGCATGTTTTTCTAGTTTATTGAATTGGATATTTTTGCCGTCTGGTGCTGTCTGGGAAAGACTAAATAAAGAATCTATTTTTTTCGGTACAACTTTACTTTTCTGGATAGGAACATTTGTAGTATTCCAGCTTAGCTTTCTGCTAGGCTGTTGATTAGTTTGTTTAGTAGCAGTTGATTTATCAGGCAAAAAAGCATCAACCCATGTTTTCTCAATCTTACTAGAAAAGTTTGGTTTCCAAGTTGTGGTTTTCCGTTCAGTAGATAGAAATAAGGAGTTAATTTTCTTACCATTTTTGCCATTAGTTATGGCATCACCAGGATTGTTTTGGATCTTTTTGTTGTCTTTATTATTCCTATCATTAGTAATTCTATGTGAATCCCCCGTCTTTCCCATCTGGTTAACTCTCGATAGATTATTTGCATTGATTGATTTCCTGTTGCCGTATTGTTGGACATTTTTATTAACATTTATGTTATTAGTTTTGACCATATTAGAATCCTGAAGCTTTCCCATTTGATTACCTTTAATTCTTGATTCTTTACTCGCAGTGATCAAATCTTTGTTACCCAGTTGATGAATGTTTTCAGAATTAGTGTTTGTATGAAACGTACCTCTGTTTAATGGGATGTTTTTGGATGTTTCCTTGTTTATCGCTGCTTTGAAGGATGACAAAGTCTTTTCATGGGTTGTTTTCCCTGTTAATCTGGTCGAACCTAACTGCTCTTCATTTGATTGAAATGTTTGAAGAATATTTTGTTTGGGATTAATAATATCATAGGATTTCCACGCTTGAGGGTGATCAGTGTGCAAGCTAAAGGATTTATCAGTTTTCACTGGTTCAGGAACCGTGGGCAACTTGTATTTATTCTTTAGAAATCTCTTTTCTGCCTCTACGGGAATAGAAACTGTTTGTGTGTTTTGAGAACTTCCGTAAGAAGTCTTTTGCGTTAGATTTAAGTTATTAGATGGTTTGTCTTCCTTGGACTGAAGAGCTGTGTTGGCTCGTACAGATGATTCTTTCAACGCTAATGAGGTTGAATCTGACTTGCCATTTTTGCTTTTAATTCCATCGCTTTTATGCATGTTCCCTCTTTCTGTTTCGTTTGCAGTTGCCACTAAAACGCTTTGTGGAGACTTTTGCAAATTTTGCATAGTGACATCGTTTGATTTCAGTGGAGATGCCTGTGTATTTAGCCCACGTCCAACGGTCGTGTTTTGTACATTTCTTTGCACAGTTGGGCTTCCAGCAGGGGAATCAGGAGATAAGTTGTTGTTAACAGAGTCAGAGCTTTGTCCTTCAGGAAAACCAG